GCGGGAAGAGCGGAAAATGGATAACCGGGGGGGGGGGGGGAGAAAAAAGGAAACGCCGCAAGAAAACGGCAGGCCGAAAGAATCCGCCGGATTTCCGCTCGCCGTTAAAGCCGCCTATCGAGACTGGCACGTTGCGCAACGCCCGTGCTCTCTGTGTGTTCCTCTGTGTGTTTCTACGTATGTGTTTGTGCGCGCGGGTACGCCCGATAACGCACGATGGAAGTCGCGAGGGGGGAAGCGGATAGATGAATAGATAGGTTCCATGCGAGTTCTCCGAGGCGGTCTTTTTCCATCGGGCTCTCCCGCGGCGCCACGAGACGGCACGATAAGTTCTGAGGGAAGAGTAATCGGGACGCGTTACGTAACGGCAGTCATTAAAGCGCGATTATCGATACGTCGCTCGTTAAATCGCATCCCCGGGAAAACGTGAACGCGTTCGGAAATCGTAAGCCCGTCGTTTCGGTCGCAATTTACACGCGCGCGAGAGGAATATGCTCATGACGATAATTGAAAAAGGGACCGCGAGAGAGAAGAGACGTTTGTTTCGACAAAAGGCTCTCGCGACTCGTCGCGAATGGCGGATGGGGGGGTGCCATCGCGCGAAACTGCCATGGCGAAGCTCGAGAGCCCTCCTAAGTACGATCGCGTCTCTCGCCAAATGTATCGCGCGCTGACAATCCACTCGGTGCTTGCGAGCTCACGTTCCGCCATATCGTTCTTCCGTCCCGTGTTTAAGCCGCGCCGTTTCCTTTCGCGGCGTGATATCGGCGCGTGTTCTCCGACCCGTCGCCAACGTGCATCCGGTCGCCGCGGTCGTTCGACAAAAGGGAGACCCGGGCCCCCGCAAACTGACCTGCGCTAACTGGAGTTTCGTGAGACTCGACGAAGGCACGGGATAATCGTCAGGTCACCGTCGAGAAGACACGTCTCTGCGGATACACACCCGGCGACGCGCTCTGCGATTGGACGACACGGGCGGAAGTAGTTTTCACGGTAAATCCGGAGTTTTCCGCCGCCCGGTTGTTTCCTTTACGAAGCTGTCGGTTTTGTTCGGTGAGAACGAACACGTGCGATCTCGGAGTATTGTAGTCGAATAATCGGTAACATCAACCGACTCTTTCGTAAACCCCGCAGGTTTCAAGAAAAGGTGGTTCTAAAGCCCCAAAATCCGTGCCCGAAGAAAGAAGCCGAGGAAGAGATAAAAAAGATACGAAAGTTTATACAATAAATTACTATGTTTTCTTGAAAAGCACAACGTTCGAGGACAACTAAGAATTTCACTTCTTTCGTTAAAATAGGAAATTGGAACAAGTTACGAGTACGGATTCAGGCGAAATCTAAAAAGATGGGCAAAACCGTGGATTCATTCCTGATAAACGCCGGCGCGAGGCAAGGGGCCGCACACCAAAAAATGTCGAGAAATATCGTTGAGAATGCGGCGACGCGCGAGGTTTCGAACCGGGCCGAGTTATGTCTCTCTCGAGCTCGATGTCTCGCAGAGAATATCGCGTGGGCCCAGATACGTGGTCGGATGAGCCGCGCAAGGACCCAGAATGCTCGTCGCTTCCCTTCGCACGATCATGCGCGACTTGTGCAGATTTCAGAGCTTACGTACAAAGGAAGAGATATATTTCCGAATGGCGAGAATACTGTGGAGAGAAAAGAGGCTAACATAGACGAAAATAAATCGTATATAAATTCCAATATAAAATATGTATATGAATGTAATAAACACTTGTACTATTCGAACGCAGGATTCCGCGATATTCGCCGATTCAAGCGAATCTTTTTCCTATCTCATTTCTGAATTACGTTTCATGCTACAACTATTAAAAATCTTTTTCATAAGCGCACTCTTTAATTTACTAGAAATAACAAAACGCGCGCTTCGCGCGCGCAGTTTGTGCTTGGGCATTATATATTTTTAGGAATTTGTATACATTCAAAGAAGTAATTGTATGCGTAACGTCAATTTAAAATAAAAAGTAATTTATCACTCACTGATACGGTTCGCAACAGCAGAGTTGTACATCGTTAACTATATGTGTTACACTGTAAAAATACAAATACGTGTATGATTATTATAGACTAATTGTGTAAAATCGAAATTATTGTATTAAATACACTTTATATATAAATCTTTTTTAAAAATAGTTATGTAGATTCCTGAAAAAGTCTTCCTTTTAAATATAAACTCACAAAATTTTATATGTATGGTTTTGTCTTTAACACTTATTCGAATCTTCGTTCAATTCATTTGAATAAATAACAAAAAAGCCACAGAACAGATTTTGAACAAGTAGCAAATAACATGAAAACGTAAGACACTTACCTCACCATTTCTCCGTCGTTGCCCGATGCCTCCTTAGCCTCCTCCTCCTCTCAGTTTTCCTTGTAGCACTCACACAACACTCACTCACTCGCGAAAATCATCGATCGCGCGAAATTTCGGGCACTCCCGTACGCGATGTGAAATACCGCGAAACGCACGAAATATTAATATCGCGTAACTTTCTGTTATACAAATTACTCAATCTAACAACTTGTATATTTAATTCGGAAAAATAGGATAAATCACTTTTGATTTGGCGATATAAAACGCAACGCGAGCATCGGAAGCATAATCTGCGGCAAAGAAATAATACAACGACGTGCAATAAGCGACTTTCTTTACTTCCCGCCCGTTCGAGTTGCGAAGAACGACAGAGCAAAGTCGTCCAAATTTCTCTTTTTTCCCGAAAATGGAACAGATTACACGAAATCGACAGATAATTAAAAGGACGGTGCATAAACGAGATGTAACCGCGACAAAGTACCACAATTTACCTTCATATTTTAGATGAGTTAGTCTCGTGAAATATCTAGGTACACGTTGATAAAGAACTTCAATATGCAATTCGTTTCTCTTTGCAAGTGGTAGAAACTTAATGATTAATCAAGGAACGTTACTTGTTACTGATAAAGATGTGCAAATCAATAGTGTTTTATCCCTGCATTCATCGCGATCGAGTCTCGGAAACCGATAACGCAAAAGTAATACCACGCACGGAGCGACTGTCGCCACTGCTTGTCGGCTCGACGTTCGGCGAGCGAATGATAGCGCGGCGACCTTCAGGTGGCACGCAAAAACATCGTACGTCACCGCGCCGAGAGAAAAACAACAAAAAAACGTTGAAAATTCGTTGGCCCGCTTAATCGTCGTACGATACCGCGCCGAGTGAAAAACAACAAAAAAAACGTTGAGAATTCGTTGGCCTGCCTACGCAATGGAAAATTCCGTACTTAATATTTTACATTGCTTTGTTCCGCGGCTGTTACTACGTTTTGCGTATCATTCTGCGGACTTATTGGTATTGATTAAATAAACGATTAATTCTGTTCAATCGAGAAAATATTTCGAAACGAAAATCGTTGTTACTTCAATTCTAATTACTAAGATTAGAGGTTTGACTTCAATAGTTGATGCATACAAATGTATATTTCTAAATTGCAAATTTTCATTCACTATGAATCTAAAAGAGAAGTGAAGCACACCGCCCTTCGAAAAAAACCATCGACATCGCGGAAAAGAGGCCTCAACTGTTCGATATTAACGACATTCGCGCTGGTAACATCTCTTTTTCAGAAAGGGATACGTTAAAAGAAAACGCCTGAAAGTTTAAGTCTGAATTCTACACAGAGAATTTTCTCTTAAAATTTATCCTGAAAATTATGTAATCGTGGGACGATATGGCATTTCAAGGAATTTTTTGAAAGTTTCTTTAAATTTTACCATACATTTTACTAGTAAAATGTGTACAATAAGTATAATTACTAGTAAAATGTATGGTAAAATTTAAAAAACTCCCATAAAGTTGTTGAAAATGCCATGATGTCCCGCGATTACCTGATTTTCAGGGATAAATTTGAAAAGAAAATTCTCTCCGTATATTTCGGAGAAACCGAGCCGAGCCGAACCGAACCGCGTGGAGCCGCGCGGTGTGACGGGGCCGGCCGCAATGCGTGGGTGCGTCACCGAGACGCCGATGGGAGAATACATTTCGGATTTTTGTCCGCCGGGAATTTGCGTGCCACTAATGGCATCGTCGACGCCTACGGGATTCGAGACTAGGCAACCTGCAACGTTTCGCGCGCGCTACCGCGTAAGGCGAGGCCAGAGAGGCCGGAGAGGTCGGGGAGAGGCCGGCTACCCACCCGGTTCCTCCTACGAGAAAGAGCGGGACGAAGAGAGGAAAGGAAAGGGGAGGCAGGAGGGAGAAAGAGAGACGGACTTTCTTCGCTCGGCCGGATCCTACGGGAACGAGGGGGAGCGGGACAGGGCGAGCGAATGCCGGCCCGCTGCGGTTTAATATGTCCGCCCGCTCGATCGACGCGATCGATCGGCCAACTAAATCGCCGTATTTCCGCCGAACGAGTTCACCTACGCACGCGCCGATAGTTGTCAATTACCGCTCTCCGCTCCGGTCCTGTCGCGACTTCCCCCGTCGTACGAGTCCTACATACACACGGGGTCGGCCTCCGTTTCTCTCTTCCATTCATTTCTCCGTTCCGCGCACCCGCCCGCGCGGGCAGATTCAATTTTCGCCGCGAGCGTTCAGTGATAAAATTCATTAATCTCTACGGCCACCGCGATTGTACACGTAATTAGTTTCGGTGCAACATATCGCTGACACGTCGCGCCGGTTCCGCGCGCAAATACTTGTCTGACGTTGGACATTTTACTCTCGCGACGAATGAAATGCCCTGGTGGTGTTGGCGCGACACCCTGTTCCCTTTAAGTAAAGTCTTTAGTAACGGCCGGGACTTTCGTAAGAACTGTATTCTTTCCGGTGTCGAAAGATGTCATTGACATCTCGATACCACGTGGAGATTATATCGATCTACCCGGCGATACATTCATATTCTAATGATGCGAACGACACGAGGAGGCGTATGTACATTGCAATTCGCGATAGAGTTTCAGGGGGTAGAGAGGAAAAAGAAATGTTGAGTCAACTCACGTCCTTGCTCGGGACGCAGAGCGGCGTTCCTTCCTTGACGATTCCAGCCTCGACCATCACGCCGATCACGATCGGATCCCTCGAGTTGAATACGTACTGAAACGCAAACGGGCCCACGTTTAAAAAGCTCCGAGTTCGGAGATCGCCGCCGACGTAAATCCCGCTTGTTTATCGCACATCCGCTACCAACCATGGCGAGGCGGACCCGCATACGACTACTCACCTGCGGCAGGATCTTGAGCTTGCACGGAAACACGGCGATGTGCTTGTGCTCGTCCCGCTTACGCTGCTTCAGCTCCTCCCTGTAGTTGGTGAATTTGTCGAACAGGTGGTAAATAATGTCAGCCTGGAAGATCTTGACGCCCAGCGAGTCCGCGAGTTCCTGCGCGTCCCTCTCGATTTTCACGTCAAACGCCAGAATTGTGGCGTACCTGCGGGCAAATTCAAACAGATTAACTATAGCTTGCTGTCGGCTATCGTCGCTCTTTTCGACAACAGGAAAATCGGGAAAGCGTAAAATTGTCTTGAAATTTTTACAAGTCGTTGAAACTTTGGCGCCAAATTCTGAACCCTCTTTTATCCATAAAAGAGGAATCAGAATACGGACCTTTGCCTTTTAATTGTTCGAGAACTTGATAGGGGCTGAAAGTGAAAATTGTACTCGAGATGTACTCACTGGCTATCGTGCTCCAGCATGATGGAAGCTTTCATCACGTCTTTCTTCACGACCGGCCCGATACGAATTCCGGAGTACTAGAAACAGAAAGAAAAATATCGTTGACGAAGGAGAGATTGTTAAACGCAAGAAAGATACCGAGCAGCATCGCGAGTGCGGTGTTCGTCATTACGCAAGTTGCTCCGATTTCGCTCGACAGCATGCAATGTGCAATGGCTGTCCCTCTTTCTCTCTCTCATCTTGGCAATATTATTACATAGTTTCTTGCGTTATGTTATTTCGCACATTGTTACGTAATGCGGGGGTAAGGGGGAAGTAAACGCTTGCCGTAACAATCTAACGGCCGGCGTACGCGAATCGCACTTGTCATCTCTTTAATGCGAACCAGTTTCTTGCGGGCAACGTAACTTTTCATCGACGCTGATATTCGTCACGCGTGACCACGCGGATGCGCAAAAAGTGCCTCGCTATCCATTTGCTCGGACGAGGGGGTAACCGTGCCGAGGATAAACGGAGAAGTCACGAGTAGTCGTTACCGTCAAACAGATGATATATCAAATCTCTTGGCTATAAAGAGACGGATGAAGAGACATATGAAAAGAATTACTATTGAGAGGGCTCTCCGACGACGACCACTTATCATGCAGATGTCAATTAATCGTAATAATTAATGTAGATGCTAATAACTGCTTTTCAGCAAATGCCACCCATTAACGCATCCGTCGTCGCCGGTAGGCGATCTGTTTGGATTCAGCCGCTGGCGGCCGAATCTCTGGAATCATTGCCACCGAAACGCAACGGGTCTCTCCGTACGCGCGGACCCGCGTGTGTATATACGACTAGGCAAAAATAGCCCGTGACGCATGCATGCCGCTCGGATTCGGCCGGACGGTGCAACGAGACGGGACGCGACACGAGACGCGCGACGCGGACGCGCGATGCAACACGTTGAAATAAACGCGACGCCGCGATGCAGTCGCAAACAAGCCGTTTCGCGGCTTTACCGAGAAAAGCCGCTCCGCTAGCCGCCGTAGTCGAGATTAAAGCCGACCGAAGCAGAACGTTTGGGGGATACGAAATTTATGACGGAACCAACAGATAATGCCTATTAATTTAGCAGAAACTCTGCTATCTCACATTAGGAGCCTAACTCATAATGCATTTATTGCCTTTGGAGTGAAATTTGTTTAGTGAAAAATTGATGGTTAGATCGTGTAATCGTTGCGAAAAATGATTTGTGATTGAATTTCGACATTGAAAACCTGCTGTCTCGTATTAGAATTCTATCTCGTAAAGAGGACTTTCCTCTATACGTAAACCAGTTTCAAGAACGCTGTATCTAAGCCAGCTCGCTAATCACATGGATCGTAATTGATTAATAGATAAATAAACAGTAACGTTTTCATTCTCTCTTTAACCATGCTCGTACTTTAACGATTTTGTCAATAACGACAGAAATATACATTGTATATTACGAAATGTAACATCGTCAGCCGGCAGCACCGAGATTTCACAGCGTTTTCCACCGTAAAAATAAAGTAGATATCTACCATCGCTATCGAGTACTCGTAATATCTTTTAGAATAAATGTAAAGAAGCGATTAATTAAGAGCACACACGAGTTTATTTCCGATAACTGCCAGATTATATTGCTGCACATTACACTCCGTCTCAATCATCAGCCTTCTGATCCTCGCTATGATTACACTCGCGCGTCTGCTTTCCGGTTTCGAAACGGATATCGGTTACCTGGCTGCCGATGTGGTCAATGTCTATAACACGATACTCGATATACGGGATTAATTGCTGCGATAGAGTTAAACACACTATAAGTATAGTGTAACTCAGATTTTATCTCGCATCGCACGTTCTTCTTTTACTCCTTATTATTCAATACACTCCGGTACTTGTGCACGTAAACAAGATCATTATATGTATATATATATACTGCTTGTCCACTAAAATACTAAATGCCTGCCCTGAACCAGTCATAAATGTGATATTTAACATCGAATTGAAGATTGGAATCAGAATCAAGTATATTAAAATTTACGCAAATTACCATCCTACAAAGAATTTTGTCCCTTTTCACGGAGTAGTCATTTTTTATCTAATCTTTTTTCGTAATAAACAAAATTTGTGAATATTTTAACTTGCAATTTGATAATAATTTTGCGTGTCTCTGTCTCCGTCTCCCTGTCTCTCCGCGTCTCTCCCTGTCTCTCTGCATCTCTCCCTGTCTCTTCCTGTTTCTCCGCGTCTCTCCGCATCTCTCCCTGTCTCTCCCTCCCACCCTCTCTCTCTCTCGTTCTCTTTTTCATTTTCATTTCGAGTGCACCCCTACGAATCGCATATATTGCACTTGTAGCGATAATTATTCTCGCTCGGTATACAGACCGTGTAGAAATGGTAGTTCCTATTTACGGCCAATTCTCGAGCCGCTACCAAGCGGCTGACGGAGGCGGACGATCGAGGGGAAACGAAGTAGAGACAAACGAACGAATGAACCGACAGGCGAACGAGCGGAAGATGATACGTTCCCGAGGACTTTCCAAGATAAGCGTGTTTTAGAACTTCCGGCGCGTGTCGCATTCCGATCCTTGTATCAGATATGCGGTCAATGTATTTTTTCCTCGGTTCTATTTGCTACACGTTGTTACATTTGCAGCTTCGTGGAATGTCCAAGAAGAAGAATAAAACGTCGAATAATAATTTCTCTGTGCCAATTTCATAATGTCTGGACATTGGCTCGTATGACATCCAATTGAACATACACGATTAAATTGCTGGTAGCTATCATGATTAATAATCCTGACGAAAGTTTCAAGCCATTTTTTTCTATTCAAATAATTATTTCGATTGAATCACTGCTACTTTCAGTGGCACCAAGATCTCATCGCAACACAAATCGGTGAAATTTAGACGATAGTCATCAAGTCTCGACGTCTTCTCCGTACACGATCAAAATTCGTAGCAAGTCGCGAGTTGACGATACTTTGCTTTGAAGGGACGGATGCTCTCGAAGAAGAGGAGGCAGGAGGATGGAGAGACGGACAAGAGGTGAGAGAGGTACCGCGGTGGAAAAGGAAAAAAAAAACAAGTCGAGTGCGGAGGGAAGGAAGGAGAGGAAAGACGAGACGAGAGAAGGAGAGAGATCTAGTACAACGAGAAAAGGCGGACACGGCAGATGTTGTTGGCGAAAGAAACGCCGCTGGTATAAGCGAGAGGAAGTTGGGAGGAAGAGTAAGACGGCGAGGAAGCGGGACGAAAGGGGGACTGGCGCATGGTACGAGGGGGAGGGGGTTCGAGACGGGGGGACAGAGAGGGAGGGAGGTGCTTCCGGCATTTAAAACCAGCCGTCGGGGGCACGGATCCTCTTTAGCCTCTCGTCGTAACTGCGGCACGCTGCACCGAAGAAGGAAACGCTAATTTATTAAACTCGCCTCCCATTCCGCTCCTCCTGCATATCCTGCCCGTGCGAGCGCGTACGATTAGCGTCACCGAAGGACGAGCGTGCTGTGGCCTTTTGGTAAATTTTCGGTTTTAACACCTTTGCGAAGTCGCTATCATCACGTGATGATCACCAGGACAGAGAAAGAGAGAGAGAGAGAGATGATTTCGTATGTTCGAAGCGACGATTGTAATCGAAAAGTACTTGCTATCATTTTTCCTCGTATTCTTATGTAGCTAAATTTGTTCATTTATTATAAAATGAATAGCAAAAGTTACAAAGAACTGCAAACACGTTGAAGAAAAGTATAGGCGTAGGATAGTATACGCGTGGAAAAAAAGAATTGCAATTTATGTTAAACAATCTCAAAAAGCTTACCATTTATGAAGAAGAAACGTGATTGGAACGGAAAAAAATTTCGTGGCACATTAATTTTCGCGGAAGGTATTAAATATTAATAGGATCACTATCTAAAGCGACATAAAAAAAATTTTTAACGATCAGCTGCATCTAGAAAAAACCGTCTACTCTCTAAAAGTCAATCAGTACAGTGTCAATGAAAACTGTGAATCAGTAAATATTCAGTTTCCAGCGATGATCCACCGATTGACTTTTAGAGAGTACCTATCAAGGAAAACCAGCCAAGAAGAATTGAGATTAAGAGAATCGAGTGGGGCAGCTCGCGTAATCCTCATTTATCTTCGAGGTTAATTGAAGATGAACACATCAATCTGCAGTTTTCCTCGATCGCTTTATGAAAACGCGCTCGCGACGCGGCGAAGCGTGCACGGGCACTCTGCTCGCACGCATCCGCTCCCATGTCCCC